TGTCGTGAGTTCTTTAATCGAGCAGAAACTAAGAAGAAAGCCGGCGAATACAACTGCACCTAGGGAACTCCTTAGCGAAGTAGGGATGTGTCCTTCAACACGGAAGTCGTATACGTCCAACCTCACCTCACCAGCAAAAAACCTAGAATGGAACAAAGTGCACCTGCTGAGCTCTGGTTCAAACGATGTTTGTGCCACATAAGATCCTAGCTGGAGTGCGTATATTAACGTGACCTTTCAATGCGATTGGACCACGTCACGCACCTCAGGAAATATGGCTGCGTTTGCCAGTGGGAATTCTGTTAGACACATTCCAGGTACCCGTGTCCGCTCCTGCGTATGTTTCAAAACAAGGCGTTGAGTAAAATGATTCCAGTCCATTTGGACCACACTCACACTGGTTCCGAATACGCACTTTGATGTCAAGCAGTCATCATCATCATCAAAAACAGCAACATCAGTGTTGGCACTGATGCTTCACTGCCGTACATGTCAAGCAGGCGAACGACCCGACTGAGTCTTGAAAACTGTGCTGGGCTCTCCAGCAGTCTGCAGATTTTGGAACAATGAGTTCACTATAAGCTCTTAAGAAGGGCCACATATCCAAGATGGTCTGAAGATCGCAAATGTATCGTTGTCGGGATGCGTAGCAATAGGTCGGTGTGTGAGAAAAAAACCTCAGCGACTGTTCCCTATTGATGAGTAGCATTCTAGGGTTACCTCATTAGGCTGTGAAGAAGAGCGCCGTCCTCTGTGGTGTTTTCAAGATTTTGACCACCGGCATCTCATAAACTTTACCGGTATCGGATGGAGTTGCTACGAGGTGATTAGAAAACGGATTGTGCAGCAAGTATTTCGGTCGCGTAAAACATCCAGCTCTACCATGTGCCATGCCCGCCAACTACTGAGACAAGCGTTGTGCTGTCCGCATCCTTCGGCATCGCACCACGTTCGAATAAATGAGGGTTACTCGATACCAGTGGCATTTGTGTCGTCAGATTCATTCCACATTGTCTGATTGAGCGCTTGGAGGTGTAGGCACATCAAGGTGCAAGCCAGTACCGGGTCCTCTTTAAGGCTTGAAACATTGTACCTTGTGTCTGTACGGAATCAGAAAATCTTTGTCAACACTGATGTTGCTGTCTCTGATGACGTCAATTGACAGTATGCCCGGCATAACGAGATCTGGAATAAACGATGGTGAATATTAATCCTAGTTTATGATCGTTGAAATCTGACATTGGTCAGCAGATATCCTTGATGATTTTCATCCTATGCCGGAACAGCTGCTTTCCGCAATTCGTCTTCGACGTTAGGAGTACAAATGGTATTCGATGAATAGCAGCTCATCTATACTCTGTCGTAAGTTCAATACGAAGCCTGCACTGTAGGTGTTTGGTATCGTTTGCGATGAATTTTCTTATTGAGCCAACGATGACAAACAGGCTCGGTGATTTTCCTGTTTCCCCGTCCTCTCCGGTGATGTTATTCCGTTTGGTCTCCTGTCAGTCGGAAGGACAACTTCCAAATACATTTTCCTCAGCTACATAGATGAACTGCGCAAAACGAAGCCTCGAGGCGTGTGCCTGATTATGGCCGGTCCTGGGAGTGCGTGTTTCCCGGAGGTTAAAGTGTGTTAGTAGTCTGGAGCATCTCGTCTCGCAACTACTCCGAGAAACTTTTACGAACTAGCACGGGGTATGGTTCCCTAGTTTCTCCAGTTAAACCGGAGGTTTTTCCCTCTGGCAGGGGAGGGGGGAGAACTGACAAACATAGTTCCTCAGCAATGCTCACTGACTGACCCGTAGTCACTGCGTACCTCCCACCTAGCATCAGTTCATCTCAACCATGAGTTCGGATGAGGTCAACTGGTATCTGGTATAAACATCGAGAGGTCACATTAATCGACGAATTGGGATACAGTGTCCCCATGTACTTAGTCATCTTATTTGTAAAGATGGCCCAGTCCTCTTGAGTTCAATCACCGACTGAGTAACACCATGGTTTTCAATGCCTCACATATCAGCCCGATCTCACAGGTCTTTAAAGAATGGCATTTTTTTAATGGAGTGAGACTTCACATTTAGAGTGCATTTAGAGTAACAAGTGCCTTAGACGACGATCTCATGAACGTTGTCAGATTTTCACAACTTGGAAACAACAGTGTACTACTCAAATGACAACAATTGCGAGGCAATCATTTCACTTGACTGTTCCCCTGACGTATAAAACCGACACGTCTTTCCTTCTTGGATGTCAAAATACAACGAGGTAACAGGAATTGGCCCAAAAATTCAATCTAGCAAAACGGAGAAAAAAGCCTCCATTCACAGTGTCCTGCCCAGAGTCTACCGAAAACCTATCCAGGTGTTTAGGGCTGCTACATCAAGAATATTTTGTACGGTGCTATCCTCAAACAACGCGAAGTTGACCGGTGTTCTGACGAGCGGTCAGGCGTCCCCCTGTGATGAATTTGCTGCACCAGGCCACCTCATGCTTTAGTTGGTACGATACTCCAGTTTCGAAGTATACTGCATGGATGTGACACACTACTGTGACCAATGTTCGACTGTATTCTCCGGGGTCGACCCAACGACAACGTCACACCCCTTGGGTGGAACAATCGACGGTGAACTGTTGTTGCGTACAGCGGTCAAGCACACGCCATCGTAGAGACTTGATTTGGAGCAGCTGTTCAGATGATTTGAGATACGCGCTTATCTTTAAATTTATGCGCGCCACTTCTGGGAAAAATAAATACAAATCATGAGCCGAGGGCCCTATTTCATCATTCTGATTGTTGGGTGATTAACGGACATGTGATGTCAGCGAAGATTTAACACACGTAGTTGTGCTGTACGGTTATGGAAGCGATTATCGTAGAGGCAACACAATGTTAAAAAAAATATCTACTGACCAGACATTCCGTCATGCGTGACCGCCGTGTCTAAAAACCCATGAAGTTTCGTCCCACATAACGCATTGATCATTGATCTTGTTAGATCCAGGCCTCACATCCTACCAGACAATCCCGAGCGTGTGGCCGGATAGCTGAGTTACAGTAGTAAGCTAGATAGATAATTGAGCCTCGTTAATCGAACGGGGGTTAAACATGATGTCCGGTCGATCGAACAAGGTCAGAGTTCACCAGGTCACTGTAGTAACCTCCTTCTACAGTAGCCAAAGTGACACGGCACGAGTGGATGTCGCTAATCCGACCCGCACCATACACACTGGAACACGATTCTTTCGTGTCAACAAGCCTTTGGTGCTCTATCCATACGAGAAGCGGCTTTAGCTGCTGCTGATGAGTCAGGTCGTGGAGCATGCGGACTGTCTAACACAGGCACTTTCATTGACGGGATTTTGCAGGCGCATTGCCCGGATTCGACGTTTGGCTTAGCTGATGGTGTCTCACCGAACCTGGTGGAAAGTTTAGCGCCACAAACTCTTGCCAGGCCTACAGGTTTTATCGTCCCGTACACCTAAGGGATTGTGCATTACCATGACCTTGCTCAAGTGACTCGCGTTCAATCTAACCCGTACAGAGAAGGTCGCGTTTGTTGAACATGGCCGCAGCAGCTTCTTTCACGAGTCCCGGCGGCCTGAGTGAGGACACAGTAGCTACACAGATCGAGACATTCAGAGCCGCTTTTGTCGAGCTCCCACACTCGTGGTGTCGACCTGATGCCGGTTGTTCGTTGTTGACTGAGAGTACCTGAGTATCCCGCCATAGAAACAAAAAAACAGCCTTTGAGAGATAGTCGAAGGTCTAATGGCTGATTTCGCCGAAGCATTACACATGCCAGCAGTGATGAGGGCTGTCGGATGCTCTTCCAGAGAGGTTAATCATCCTGGATAGGAGAGATTTCCATAGACTTGTTGGGGATATCAATATTCCCCAGAAAACGCTGTTTTTATGTGTGCTAGCGAACTCCTGGCACCTCCAAGGTCAAACTATGAAAAATCAATGGCTTGTTGATGATACTCCAAGGAAATTTAAATCCGACCACGTGCAGGATACCATTCTTTCCACTGACTTGGGTTCGGAAGCTCCGGGCATCGCCTGTTGATCGTGTGTTGTTGGATTATTAAAGCTCGTGTCCGAGGTTTTCGTCTTCTTACTATTCGCCGTGCTAGGAGTCTGGATCAAACAAACCTAGCTGGGGATAGAGTATTGCCACAATCCGCATTATCATATTGTTTGCACGCTGCGTGACGGAACCGTAACAAGACTAGACTTGGTTGGCCACACAAAGACTGTTCAAACCTTCTATGGTCGCCCGGAGAGCTATCTGATCTCAGAGTTCATCCATAATCATCTGTAGGTGACCGCGGTAGTGGTGAGTGAGCAGGGTTGAAGAGTTTGCTTAAGTTCACTAACGATGCTCGCATTGGGTGAGCTATATTCCAGAGAGCCAGCGATGAATAAACGGTTGAGGGGGGGTGTTCACGGGTGGTTGACACCTTCAGCGACTGCTGGTAAATCTTTTGTCATGTGACCCTACAACGTTTATCCTAGCTTGTGGGTTAACTGGGTCCCAACAGTCTGAGCGTTTGTCGAATGTGAAAGAAGGAAGACTTAATACTACTGTGTCTATTATCGGGAACTGAAGGAAAAAAGACAAGGCTTCATGCGACGTCTCGACTTTCCGATAATGCCCCGCATGACCAAAGCGTGCTCTCTCCGTCTCGGCGACTGGGGGCCTTCAACATAACTCACACTCGAATCCCCGTGACACTTTTACAGGTCTAAGGCCATGACGGTTACTACCCACTGTCTGTGACAAATGACTTTAGGCCTCAGAGTACAACTCAGGGTCACCCTTTCCACGAACAGACATATTGAAAGCAAAATCAGCTAGTTCCCTTTTATTCCCCGTTAAAAGTGCCCTTCTCTCATCTCGAAGTCTTCTCGTCAATATTCCCCAAAGTTGAGCTGCACTCGCACCAACTACAACCCCCCCCGACAGAACTATTCCAAATCGACCAGACCACAATCGATAAACGGATTTTTTTATTCACATGAAAAACAAAAGCTCATCTCCACAAATAGAGACGTGCAGAAAACGGTTGGCTGACCACCGGTGCACGTGCTTAGCAACACAGGAGATCGGCATACAACCAATCGGTCCTACCATCACGACAATCAATGTTGTGTATGTGAGTGCGAGCCTCACACAGAGGGAATAAAACTGGCGACGGGGGCACGACTGGGTATGCGCAACAGATCGAAAAAGAGTGGATTTGGTTGGTTGATTGGTTGACTGATTGACCGACGGTGAGGTCAACTGACAAAAACGGACAGACCGAGAGAAGTAGCGAGATTGGAGGCGAGTTGCAGCCGAAAAAAAACCGGAGGGTACAAGTGAACCAAACAGAGGGGGGAGCCGGTCGAGACACGAAAAGCGAATACAAAGAACCACACATCATCACTCTGTTTCAAGGTGATCGCAAAAGACCTCACGGATAAGAAGGGCCGACAAGTAAATGCTCAAAGGTGGAGATAAAAAGAGCGTCACAAAGTCGATTCAAACTGGCAGCATAAGTGATTGTGTGTGTGTATCTCCTGGACACGCAATGTGCTGGGCTAGGTCGGCAAAATACTGGAGGAAATCTCTGTATGAGCGCACGGGCTGGCGTGAGGAAACGGGCACGGGGAGCGACTTGCACATGAGAAAGGAGACGAGACAGCAGCAATTCCGACTGACGAGCATCTTACGCATAGAAAAAAAGACCATATTCGAAATAAAACAGTGAGGTCAAAAGGAAGTAGGTCAGGTAGAAAAAAGCAGGCGACGAGTTGTTCGAATCGAATATAAAAAAGCCCCAAACGCTCTCCGAATAGATACGGTACGAAATTCATAGAAAATTCTTCCAAACCAATTGACTATCGTTGGTGCCAATTAATGCAAAAGAGATGGAGTATATCGGAGAATGGATAGACACAAATAAAAGGTACCTGTCGAAGAATCGTTGGAATAAACCAAAGGTTGGAGAAAAATGGAAAGAAGATTGAAAGAGCAGTAGGACCCCCGCCTCTCCCAAAAGCAGCTAGCTGGGAGGCGACAAAAAATGATAGGAACTGACGTTGCCAGTGAAGCCAGGTAGGGAGGGTGGGTTTTTGTTGAGGAATTCAATAAAACGGAAGCATAAAAAAGGAGAATCCGAATATATTAGATAAAAAAAGACAATGAGAGTCAGCCTGCCATATCGATCGATGGTCGTGTAAGGTTGGAAATTAAAGAAAGGTCGAATCGAAAAAAATATATATCAAGACAAGTATCCGAAAGATTTATATATATATTTATAAGTATATATATTTATTGCTTGAGAGAACGACAATGACTTGAAAATAGTTATGAGATAGAATAACAGGAAGCAAAGGAAAAAATATTAGTATAGTGTCGTGAAAAGCCTATAAGGGATTTTCATCTTACCTAGACGGGGATAGGTCGGGGGGGCAGACTTAAATGACTGCCACTGCTGCTGTGCGCGTGTTCAAGTAAAAACTGTTCAAAAACACAATAGCCACTATAAGTGGGTAATATTATACTCAATATTGCTTAAGTTTTGAAGCAAAAATCGATAAAATGTGCTCAGCCCAAAAGGAAACCGAGCACCTCAAAGAGCAATCGGTTCAAAAGGTTATCGATTCATCATGCTATCAGCAAGGAAGAGCCCGAGGTTAGGAGATCACGAAAACGAAGGCTGAGTTAACACGGACTGGAGGACGATCTTGTGGACTAGTCTCGAAATCACGTTAGACATGATACGTGCTGTATTCCCACTGGAACTTTGGAGACGATATCTACTAACAACCGCTACTGCTGTTCCTGTGACATCAGTTCCGGTGGGTAACCATGTAAAAACGGACAAGTGGGTCCTTTGAAGCATTCGCCCATCTCCCAGAATTTGCAAGTCACTTTGGTCAAGTCATGAGCGAATTCACAGTCCTCTTTTTTACAGTGCCCACGCAAATAAAAACTGCAAGCTCGGCGCCATTTGGCAATCACCGGTTTCCCTCCGACTTCCGTCGAGTTCACGGACTGTTGCTCGGGATTTGTGCTGCCACATGTACTGTTGTTGCTGCTGTTACTGCTGCTGTTGCCGGCCGAAGATGCTTTGGCGCCCGATGCGTTCGGAGGAGAGGAGTTGGTACTGCGAGCACTGGTCCCACCACTTTGTTGTTGTTGCTGAGTTGACAGGCGCATCGCAGGAAAGTCTGCCGAGCGGTCATATTGCATGCGTTTCTGATTTCCAGTATTGCCGTAGCGAAGGAACTGTGGAATTCAGGAGAAACGGGAAGATTGAGTGACAAAGTCACAAGGCTTCTACGGGTTAGATTCAACACTACATGCTCTCCTTTGAACGAATAGAATGGGCTAGATGAATGCAGTGGGGGGTGGAATACTAATTACGGTTCAATTTTTAATGCGTGAGTGGAACTTCGGGTGACCAACTGGATAGGACGGACAGCGACAGAGCACAATTCGACAACACGGGTTCGAACCCCATTCATATACTGCAAGATCGGTCTCGGTGTAACAATAAGTACGAACGTAGTATCATGAGTAGAAACGATAGAATGTACTTTTAAAACAGGGCTATTCTGTAAACCAGGTATTTGTCTCCACGAGAAAACACTCTAATTGTTTCACAGACTGAATCTCAGCTGACCGGACAGTCAATCACGTGACTAGCCGAACCAAATTTGCAGTGGTTTTTCAACAGTTCTGACCGATACCAGCCAGATTAACTGGTTTACCCTGCTCTGAGTTTGACGGTTCCGATAGATTTCGCATTATGAGGCATAAATGTTCACGCCATCTAAGAGGCTGGGTGCAAATGTCAGAAAAGATGCTACAACTGGTTGCTCATCTAGCGGATACTGTCCAACAGCTACTACGTACCTCCTGTAAGTGGAACACAATCGGTCGAGCAGAGGATTTGGAGTCCAAAAGAAACGGGGTTGGCGTGTTATGGCGGCTGGTGTTGAACGCGGTTGGCGAGGTTAGCGGAACCGGGGCGGTGGTAGCTTGGTTAGATTTGGGCAGCAAATAAGACAGCGTTGGTTCTGACAGACCGGCTCCAGTCGAAGAGTTTTGAGGGGTTAGTAGACCTGGGTGACAAACGCTGCCCGGATGAGGTGGAGCGTTTGCCCGTCGGGTGGCTCGATGTTGTCCCCGGCTTTGCTGGTGACTAGGCACGAAAGGTGTGGCATTCATTGAAGCATTACGATCCACAGGGGATTGACTAAACGCATCGAAAAAGGGAGCTCCTGTTCTATGATCGACCAGACAACCAGGACCGGTGCATCCGTTTGTTCCAGTTGACAGTCGGACATCAATATCTGTGAAAATCGGATATGCAGAGAACGGGATATCAACGAAGCAAGTAAAGTGTTGAAAAAAGAAACGGTCGAATTACGGAATCAAGCGTGAATGAGGATAGGTAGTTGGCACTAAAGAGACAACAGGGGTCACAAAGCGGTCACATTAAGTCTAGTTGTTCCCAAAAATTCGTTCTAAATTCAGTGGTGCCTGTGCACCGAGCACGTCTGGAACCCAGTGTGATCGATGCATCAAAAGCGGTCTAGTCAGGCGAGCGAGATTCACGCGATTCATTAAGAAAACTTTGCAAACATGGTTCATTCCTGATGCTGGAACACAACCAAATTACTCATATGATGTCCTGGAAATCCCGCTCTGATTTGTCTCACATGTATTGATGGCGGCCCGAACAACCAGCTGGTCTGAGATTATAATGTATTGTTAATTCTACCTTGGCGATCATACCAGGCGCGACCAGTTTACGTCAAAAGTGTAAGCACCATTCTAGTCAACGATATGCAATCGTTTCCCGTGGACCGACAGTCAGTATGTTCAGCTACATCGGTGGGCGCGGTCATCGAGTGTTCATGAAGTCAACATTCCCTACACGAGGTCAGTATCCGAGGTTCAGAGCCCGAGTTCTATTGTAAACACTGGAAAATTCCTCCGCTTCGAGACGCGTCTCTGGGATAGCGGGCGAAATATTTCAGACGCGCAAATCCGTAGCTATACCAGCTGCATGCCGAGCTCGGAAAGTGGTCGCAGAGCTCCGAACGAGGACCATAGAACTCAACTCATCCATGACTTGGTTAACCAAGCCACACGGAATTAAAGCTGAGACCAGTGCTCAACAAGCCGACGGTATTATGGGGCCAACAGTGACCCCCATTTTGGAATTCGTTCTTCGCTCACCCAACTGAGCTTCCACTGAGGGTGAACTTGGGTTTCGATTATCCAATCAGTAACGCTCCGTTCTAGTCAAGACTGTAAACAAAGATCGACTGACCCCAAGGAGCGAATATACTAGAATATTCGACGGAGCATGAAAAGAACGCTGAACGATGCAGTGTGTGTAGTCTAGCAAAAACCTATGGTTTTATACTAATAAACTGGGATTTCTCTGGAGTGAAGCGAGTCCTTTCTGACCGATTTCCGGTAATACAACACGGTATCAGAGGTACGGGAGCCGACTGTCCACTCCAACTAAGTTCGTCTAGCATCACCATAGTGGCACTGCCACCTGTACCGCTTGGCAGGTCAGCGGAAACTAGCTGACAGTCATGGAGAAATAACTATGACGATTCTTTTACTGTGAACAACTTTCGCTCGGAAACGAATGAGCGACATATGGAGGTGCATGCGATCGGTGAACCCGCCACTATCGTCCTCAGCTGGAAGATCTTACGGAACCATCAGGGAAGCTTGCTGTCTTCCAACGCTATTGTACAAAACCTTCGGAGGATTCCAGTTCTTCAAGCGAAACAGTTAAGTTGGTGATTCCATACGTGGCCGCATTGCGACAACTAGAGAAATCGTGTTATTTTTGCACCTATGTGAATAAAAATTCACATTCGAGATTGCATTTCACTGGGGACAGGGAACGACGATATTAAGAAGTGCCTGTTGAAGTGCTCACAACGGGACCAATCAACGTTTGCGGCAGGAAACCATACGCAGTATTTATCAGCATGGAAACCGGGGGAAAACTTAAATACTGTGGCGCAAACAAACTTAGGCAACGGCAGATTTTGTACATGAGCCAAGGAAAGAAAAATAATCGGCCCGGCATGAAGTGCGTAAGGACTTTTGAAAAATGAAACACTTCGCGAGCCAAAGTCAGCTGGTTCCTGTCAAGTCTGTTTCACAGACCGACGATGATGATGATGGCGAATAAAACCGCTGCAAGACGAAAGCAATGTGGAATGACACGAGTTCCAGTGTCACGATAAAAACAATCCCAGGAGACTATGCTGAGGTTCAGAGCGTCTAAAGCCACTCTGCGAATGTGGAACAGACCAAGAACCATGCCAAAATCCAGCTGGCTGTGACGCGTCCGATTGACGGCTTGGCCGATCACAAGCCACTGACGACCGTGGTGAAACATTTGCAGCGAACGCTGATCACATTTCAGAAATACAACCATCAGTCACCTTAGTAACCAGGGGCACAGGTGATTATTACTGAACAGGTGTCCAAGAGTCTGAGGGGTCAGACCACAAGTTCGAGGCCGTTTTTACGACTGACTGTAGCTTTATACCCGCAGACAAGCTGACTATTATGGAAGAACTGATACAACTGATTGTACACTGCTGGCCCAGTAAAAAAAAACAAGGCTTTCCCCAGTACTTAAGAATGCTGTTCAAGGAACCCGTTCACTTAGTTCGATTTCAAAATATTGGAGAAGGGGAGTAATGAAGAGCTACGTATTACGCACTCCGAGAGCAGCATTCCGAGAACACGATAAAACTTAATTACACCGGCAGACATGGCTCAACCACGCAGTTAAGGGGTAGACCCTGCATCAAACCTATCGCCTTCAAAGTGTAGTTCTTCTTTCTTCAAACAACTAGAATGGTCCCCCTCCAATTCCTGACTGTAGGTCTTCTGTTCTGCTTGCTAGTTGTCGCCTACGGAAACTGTAACAGCCGAAAATAGCGTACGTTTCATAATACACGATTTATAGCTGACAAAATACGGTGGTTTCCTTGTGCCCACCTCAGACCTATTCGGCGACAACCATATATGCCGAAGAAAGTTGCTTGGAACGAAGGAAGAATTCTGCTATCCCAACGAGGACAGTTTGTCGAATTTACTCCATCCTTTTCGATGAGCCAGACCAGTGTTGCTTGCGTGCGTACGTGGGTGTTGAGAATTCCAACTATGCCTGTCTACATGAGGCAGTAACTGAGCCACCTGTCAATATCGATTGGTCAGCTCAAGTGTGAAAAACGTTCACTTTTGTATCAGCTGATCATTCTCAAGAGAAGAGAGTTCAATCGGCAAACACACACACACAGACAGAGAGGCAACTAATCCAGGTATGACACACAGAACGTGAGTAGATGCAGAAATGTGAACTATTTAGCACAAACTGGGTCACGTGGCCCGCACTGGATTGTGTAGACATTTACGGGACAGATAGAGAGATTTTGGAATTGTGCAGAGGGATAGGCAGTCTTCTGACCAAATTGGTCTACCTCCGGAAGATTCTACGCACCGTCAACGCTGAACAAAAAGTCTTCAGACGTTACACACTTGGGTGGCATCGGTTTTGAAAGCTCACTGGGAGTACTGGCGAATCAACCGAGAATAAGCGAGCATAGAAACGATCTATACAACGCTATGAACTGGACGTCAATGAAGCGGATTGCGATGAAACAGAGAAACTAAGGCTTAGTGAGAGACGCGGAAGCCGAAGGTTAAAACACATACTTGATGTATCCCAGGCACCGGAGCCATTAACTGAGCTGGAAGGAAAGCAGGCAGACAGCACACTTCGGCGGCCACAAATACCGGGGGCCGTCGTGTTTGACTGGGTCTGTTGGTTACAAAACTGTTCAACATCTGTCGATCGAGGCGTACAATTGAATGTGGCAAAGTTGTCCTGATTGATCACTTGGGGCGTTGACACAGGTGTGCCTTGAGTTGTATGATTGGAGCTCATTCCACCAGGTGGTAGCTGGGACAAGTCCTTACTCGCATGAGCGGTGTTCGTCAATGGTTTGGTCTCTTGGCTCCACTGGGCAGTAGTCGTAACAGTTTCATTCAGACCGAGCATACTCATACTGTTGAGAATGGCATCTACGTTGATGCCATTTTTGGCAAGTTCACCATGGTCTACAGCAGCAAGAATGGCCTCTTTCGATTGTGTCGATCGGTTGGCCCCTTCCTGCAGCGCGCGGACAGCACACGCGAAAATTTCGCACCACTCGGAAGCTTTTGCGTCCGGATACGAAGCGATTTCAGTTAGGGTCTGTAACGAACGCATGGTGAGCGAAACATGTGTTGTGAGTGAAAGCTAGGCGCATTGTTGTGGTAAACAGACAAACCATCGAAACTGGCTGCACTGCAAATACTATCTAACATGAGTAATAAAAACTATGGTAATCGTTCAGCTGTAGCACCCTTCCGATGCGCACAGCTGGTGTGGTGTGCCACTGGACGGATGCATGATGGCTGAGAGAGCGCCAGGACAGGAGCAGTCGAGATCCCGTGGTTGGGTTCGAACCCTGCGGTTAGTAAGTTCACGCCACCTATCTCCAAGTCACCAGTCTTACGTGGACCATCGAGGACTGAAAAGGGGAATTCCTAGCCAATTAATACCTGTATGACATGCCGTACAGGATGGGATCCACCTTCAGTACAGGACTTCGAAGCTTCCTGTATTCGGTCTGTTCGATATGACGATAATTTTGATCGGCCGATTCCCATGTGCTTGCCTGGTTGGAACATGCAGCTTGACTAATATTGCACACTGATGACACACATCAATGGGACCGATTTCGTTAGACGTTAGTAGGTGAAAAGCATAGGCAATTATGGTTAATATCAGTAATAAAAATTGAAGCTGGGTGTTAAAAATGTGTCGACTTCGTTGGTTGGCTGTCTATCGGGCACTACCTGATGGAAACTGCTGGATGCATCCGACCTTCGAGCGTGTGCTCATTTGTTGGTCCACCGCATCAATTTGAGCCGGACAACCGAAAGTGTGTATTCGGGTGTATGGTATGGTAAATTCCCGAACAGTATCACCAAGCTTGTGTCGCAGGAAACCCGTATGTAATCAGTTTGTCCACTGACTTGAAATGTTTGAGTAAGTGTTGGGATTTCAAGACAAGGTCAGCATGACCCTCTCTATATGCCTGAGTAGAGAGGCGGTGAGATACGGTTACTGGTCGATATCAGTCTCCATCCAGGCAGCCTGAATGAACGTTGGGCAGTGCAGTCACCCTATCATGTTCTTGATAGGCTTCACCCTTCCCCATTTCACACAAGATATTTCGAAACATAAAACGGAGTCCACAGCAATGGAGTACCTGTGTCTTCAAAGACAGGGGTGCTGCTTACAGTGACGGCAATTGTGAAACATCATACATTGTGGAAATACGGACAGAATTATTTACCTCATTCGTCTTGCAGGAGCCGGACCGATTAAGCGCAGGTACCCCGGGACAGAAATGACTGTAGAATGAAACACGAGAAACAGGAAACTATGTGTTTGTGACAAATAATTCGATTTACACACGAATTCGGTCTTAACAGGAGACTCAAATGAATCCAAATAAATAGTTTTCAGCAACCTTATGAGTAGTGTGTTGCTAAAATATGCAACGGAGTCAATAGGGTTATAGAAATGATGTAAATCGCGGGGAAAAAACAAGGACCATACTAATGCTATTAACTTCGAAGGATAACTAATTGCTGACTTGCTTGAACTAAGCAATCAACACAAGCTGTCTTCGATACATTCCACGCTTAATTCACGAAAATTTAACTGTTTTGGGGATGTTTTCATTCAGTGTGGTTGGGCCAAACATTCAAAAACCCTGCATGTGCTTAAAACAGTGTAATGGCATGGCAAACTCGAATACTGAGTCAGTTTATTTTCATAAAAGAAACTACTCACAAGGTTGCTGAAAACTCTTCGACAGCCCACGACCGGTTTCGCCCTTCCTGGGGCTCATCAGGTAGACGCAGCCCCCGACTTCCCATCAACCTTATGTTCTACTTGAACCCAAATCGGACTGCTTTCGAAAAATACACTCATTTGCAAATCAACTTGGTTTTCACAAGAGACTCAACTGCAGCACATTCAGTTGTAGAATACCATAAACGAGAGATTCATTTGAGTCTTTTGTGAAAACCAAATTGATTTGCAAATGAGCGTATTTCTCGAAAACTGTTGCGCGTGCAATCTAATGATACTCAGGTGAAAATAGAAAAAGGAAGCATGAATTAAACGTGACATCACCGAGAGGTGTGGGAATACCGAGTTAGCATACGCTGTATACGCTGATTGTAGGAAAAAGTCCCAACCTGGTAAGTGAAGATTTATGCCGTTTCATTGACTGAAAATCGCGTTCCACACTGCGAACGCTAGCACATCTTAGCGAAATACATTCATTTGAAAAAACTAATTTGGTTTTGCGAGAGACTCACCTGGAACCCAGCTGAACCACCCGTTTGTGATGTTTCTAGGCAACTGAATGTGCTGCAACAGGCCGCCTCATGTTTCAGCCGCTACGATATTCGCGATACATGTATATTTGTAATGCACTAACCTTAAGGTTGCTGTCGACGAATTCCCAGCAACCTTATGAGTAGTGCATAACAAATATGCTAGCACATCTTGTTTGGTGCTGTCAACGTTTGCTTATTATTCTTTGACCATACAGACGTAGTTACCAGTGCCAATCGAGTCCGTTGATGTAGCTTGTCACTGATAAATCTAGTCAGTAGTCTTCTGTAAAGTTGTCGACCACGCGGATAAACAAAACCAGTCCACGTGTTGGTATCATAGACGACATTCGTTCTTTCCCTCTTACTTACTTACTCGTCTGTGGTCGGTATGCTGATAGTAAACTATCAAAATTCGGAAAACCACATATATTTAAAAACCGAACCAAGCTCAAGATAGCCCAGCGGGTAAGAGGCGAACATGATAACTGTAAAGGTCCGGGGTTTCGACACTAACCCCGGCATCTCGACGGCCCCGGTCTAGGCTACGGCAAACTGGCAGTATCTAACCCCTCGTGTTTACTTTGGGTGGAATGTCCACTAGACATAGAAGGGGTGTTTTGGCTGGACGAGTAGTATGAGCAACAGTAGTAGTATGGTGAAGACCGAATCGGCGAGTTTGTCCAGTGAAATCCTACCTACCACCCGTAATGCTTAGAGGTGTCAATCATATTGCTTTCCTTCGCACATCAGACACGAGGAACCAGCACACGTCTGTTGAAACGTCCAAGTTACTACAACCAACCAGATATGCCGCAAAAAACACGAGAGACGGGGGTCAATAGAAGATGGCCAGGAAATTCCATTTTTAAGACACACCCGGGCGAGTTTTATAATCTGTAGGCACATGTCTTGACGGATGATCAGCATCATAAAACGTCGAGATGAGAGACTAGTTTGCCTGCCAGCTGTGAAGTTCGGTTTCTGCTGTAGACCACTCGAACTAAGCGAGAAGCCAACTCGTCATTCACTAGAAGCAATTGGAATGATGTTAATCCGTGTGTGTGTGTGTGTGCGTGTGTAGGGGATGCACCCAAGATGAGTTGAAACAACGGCTGGCCAAACTCAATTGGCACCAATCAATACGCAAGAGCTGGAGTAAGGATTGCCAGAGAGGCGGAACAGATAGCAAGTCTACCTTCGTGGTTGTACAATCAAACCGGATGTGTTTGATTCAGACACGAGACCAGACACCACACGGACATACATTACTGCAACGCACCTGGTGCGGGGCCGATTGGGCAGTGTTTGTTATGTGCACGACAGGATCGGCTGAGAGAAGAAAAACGCTCTGATTTCGGCTACCAAGTCAGACCGTACGAGATCAGCTGAGAAAAAAAAACAGCCAGACAGGAACAGATGATTGCCAGCCAGCTGGCTCAGGTAGACAAGAGTTTCTCTAAAATATCGGCCCTTGTTAACACACACACACGCAGCAAGTAGTTTAGTTTGCCGAAAATAAAGTTTGGCATGGACGAGTAAGAAGGGAAGGGGAAACCGAGTTTAGCTGACCCCTGAGATTTTCTAACTGCAATCCACTGGCGGGGGAGGTTGTAGAAGCGTTCGCACCATTAGAAAACAGATAAAAAAACACACTTACCGGAGCATGGGAGCGCATCCGGAGTTGGCTGCTGATGTGGAATCCCCAAGTACCATTGTGCTGTCTGATGAAACCATGCCCACCACATTACCAGCCAGTTGGTGGTCCGAATAGAGTGATGAGCCACCGTTGGGAAAGACAGTCGGGGAGATCATTTTACCGCTACCAGGTCCGCTGTTAGATAGTTCCCCATTGGTACAGAGTGTGGGAGCACAGGTCGTGTCCTTCAGCGAGGAAACACAGTCACCAGCCAGAAAATATGGTCGCTGTGGCTCAGTGCTCGAACTCTGATTGAGCCGACTCATACACGAAGAGGACAACCAGGTGGTGCTCGGCTGTAGATGAGAGGATGTTTGTAAACAGATCGTTTCGAGTTGGTCAAGGCGGAAAAGGTAAGTGGAACAATTTCTGGACAAACTCGCCGTGGTTTCAGGTCGGCTGGTGATTTACCACCATTGATTATTTGATTGTGAATGGTGGAACGTGCGTTAAATACTACTACCAACAATATAGTAATAAAAATAACAATCGTCCGGCTGCAACACCTTTTCGGTGCATAGCTGTCATGCCACACACACACACACACGGCAAGCAAGATGGCTAAGATAGTGCCAAATCGCCCAAGCGCAGACAGGAGCAGTCGAGGTCCTGGGGTCGGGTTCGAACATTGGACTGTCCGGTCAGTAAATTTGCGCCTGAATCAGAGAACTATCTCCAGCTCGGTGGCATCGGTAAGCGAGGGGGATTTATTAGCAGTCATCAAACGTTATTCGGAAGAGTGTAACAAGGACTACGGTTCGAAGTGACAGGATTTTCATAGGTTAATAAGAATCAGGTAAAAGGGAACGACATGGATCAATACAACCCTAATGCGGATTACACTTTGAAAAGGATTCTAACAACTAACACTGGCCAACACGTCTGTCTGCTTATTGTAACTTTGGAGCTTTGGTGTTTCAGTAATGGCCAACAAAAAAAAATCGTTCAGCCGTAGCACCCTTTCGGTGCCTAGCTGCCATGCCACCCGAAAGTTGCACGAGGGCTGGAATACTGCCAGGTTGCCCAAGCCTGGACAGGGGAAGTCGAGAGACAGAGGTCGGGTTTGAACCACGGACCTTCTGGTCAGTAAATTCGCACTCAAACCACTTGGGCCATCTCTGGCCAACACCCTAAACTGCACTGACAAAAACTTCGAAGATGGCAGCCTCTTGGTTTGCTCAGTTAGACGAACTCAAATAACCGTATGAAGCATCCCCATTATTGATTGAAAAAATTATAGAGGCACAGCAATGACGGTCTTTGTTGGGCTTACTCGCCAGTGCATTGTCCCAGTGCGCACGGGACAGTCTTGCTAGCCTCCTCGGGAGCGTCATCTGTTGAGATCGCGCGAACTCGTCAGGTCACGGCACACACAAAGACTTCTCTGTCCCTCGCGCACAACAGAGCCAGTCCAGTGTTGTTAGACTATGCAACCACTCCCAGATGAACTGGGCCAGGCGCTGAGGTCATGCGCGTGTGGGGCAGTGACTAGGATACGGTAGAGGAGGATGCAAACAAAGACATACATACCCAGCATGTCCAACACTGTAGCGCTACGCACACACACACACGGAGGGACAAAGATCGAACAAAGGAAAAGCACTTGATGGCTGAAGCTGGGTTGCTTAAACCGGAAATTATTCACCCACGTGTGTGGGAGTGCAGTGCTTTGTTCGCTCTCGCTTCCATAAGCGTGCACATACACAGACAAGCGACAGGGTGTCGAACGAATAAATGAACGAGTGAGCGAACGAACGAGCACATCCTAAGTAACTAACTGGTTTTGCTATTTAGTGTGCACAAGGAGATAGAGGTGGTGGGGGGGGGGGTTGGTGTATTATTAGCAGCAGATTGCTGCATGAATTGTCCAGTGGGCTTGTTGATTGACGCAGAATCGGATGGTCTAGGTGGTGTGTGGTGTACTGCTGCGGTCCCGATGGCCAGAACTAGGACAAGACTAGGAGAGACGAACGGTGGTGGTGAGTCATGCGAAATTTGGAGTCAGAATGGGTAACCAGACGGAATCATCGCATTTGCATGACACTATCGGTCCTTCTAACTAACCACGACCAAATACCAATGGTAAAACACACAAGACGTCCATAAACAGGGTCAACCCGTGAACCAACCTGAGTGCGTACGATAAAGTCCCCAGCGGAACAACAAAGAGAATACTCCTATTGGTCAAATAGGTCTCACAGAGCCGAAGGTCACAACTCCGAACCAAAAAGGTGTGAGCGGATAGACGCATTCCTTTGATACAAATTCATTCATCTACCCAACACACGATCGTCGCCTAAGACTACACACAGTTAAGCGTCAGTAATGCCTTCAATCTAACCTAAAACATCACGGAATAACCGAATGAGTGGAGAGCCGTTACCCGTCCCAACTTTCAGTAGAATCCCTCATCAAATAGGGACACCTTCGGGAGTCCTCATGGACGTAGACTTGTCCTGCCCCCAAAGTTACTGGGCAAACCGCTGATCCCGGACAATGACCAAAGTTCAGCAAGATGGAAGCAACTTCAATTGCTCACTGCGTGGACTTGTGACCAAGCAGCGGTCTCTCTTAGGTGGATTATGGCTCAGTTACAGAACCTTTGGGGAGAAACGACGCCTCGCACATATGAGGAACTCGGCTCCCCTCACCAGTGACTGACTCTGTGTGAGGTTCTACGGCGCATTGCGTACGTGAGAATGAATATACGAAACTTACCGCCTCTTCCACGGCAGTTTTGCCTTCGCCAAGTGAAAACTTCTCCGAGTGCGGCAGCAGTTGTTGTGGCTGTTGATCAAAAGAACCGTATCCACTGGAGCACAAATCAGTAGAGTCGGCGGACAGCATCACACCATCATCGTTCACTCCAAACCCAGCGTTGAGTTCATGTGGATGCACAATCTCGTTGAACCGATCCAAGGAATTGCTGATCAGATGCAGCAGGTCAGTTCCTTCTAGGTCATCTTCATCTATATCCCCCACAGCACCGGTACCTGCACGTTCCTGAGAGACTGCAAGACGTAAATTACGTGAACTACGGACGCTGCTTGGATTAGTCCTCGTCGAGTTTGATACTTTAAGGTCGATCTCTTCAGACAGATTGGTTACATGTTTAGCAGTCTCTTGACCCGAGGAATCCCATAGCCGGGGCTAAATTGAGGCAACAGAATAAGAGAGTAAGTGGGCGGGAAGCTTAATGCTTAACTCATTTTAGCAAAATCACATGGGAGGAGTGCAGCCGAAATGGTCGGTCTACGGATCTCCGCCTTACACAGCTAATAAACGGACCCTGAACGCTTTTTCCCTTCTACATTCTCTTTATTTTCAAGCATTCTCTTCCAGGTTCAAGTGAACTCGAAAGCCAGAGAACACTCTGTAGGTTACGGAACGTTTAATTCAATAAACACGGTCTAAACCAGGTGATTCTTCGGGACAGTAAACAACTGAGATGTCTACTGGCCCTCGGGAAATTGTGCAGAGTGATCGAAAACAATAAAGTACAAGCTTGTTAACTTTAGATTCCACCTCATCCAAACACTAAGTTGGTTTGTTGCACGGCTGTCACGACAGTAACGGTTGTCGGGAACGAGGGGGGGGGGACACGCGATTGTGGGAATCTCAATAACTAATATCTCTTTGAGTTTCAGTAGTGTGTTGGTTTACCTGAGAAAAGCCTCAAGGGTAACTACCTGCGTCCGGAATGTGGAGTAAGTACAATTTATGAGACCCAGACTGACCGCCTCAACATGACCGGAACTGGGCAAATTATACGTGCTCAATGAACGATAGACAGGCATACAGACTGAAGAAAAATGTCCATTAGATACGCCGATTCAGAGTGACGTCTGTGAACTAGAGTGGAAGTACTCTTGCAAACAAAAAGGGTGTAGTGGGGCGGGCAAGAGGCTACTAAAGAGAAGAATTGATCAGTGTTCTGAAGTACGGATCAAGCGTGAGTTAGACTGAATCAAGTGACGACTTCGATTTGGTATGGGGATGGATTGAGATTTCAACTGCATTACCGTGAGTCCTGTCTCCTTTCGAATGTATCTAGCCCGATGAAGTGTCCATGAATTGGTAATCGCCATGAAGCACTTCTTTTGTCTTTTCAGAATGACTGTTGGTGCAATTGAGATCAGGTGAAATCTATCGCAAGATGGCATGATAAAGCTTCCTGAAAGACGGAGTTTTCGTCCGTAGGTCATCTAACGCTCAACTAACTCACATCTATGGTTCCAGTTTCCTTATTGCGTACCTCTAAAAGGCACAATCTTCAACTGGGAAGTTAGCTGATAATCCAGGAACATATGAAAGCAAGACTTCAGTACAAGTTTCTTAAACAACCTTCTAAGTTCCTGCCGAGTTTATCGTCCATCTCTTGCCTTATCGAAGGAACTGATGCCTCTGGAGGGCGAGACCACGACAAAGGCAAATTCAATGGCCTGAACGAACAGACCTGAGCAATAAGGACTCCGCTTGCATACGCAAGTAGCCACACACACGCACACATCGATTGCGAAGGGATTCGTTGTAAACTGTGACCTCAAGCGACACAACACAATCACTGAGGCATTTCGTTTGCATACACACACGCTAGTATGGTACAAAGTGTTTCTGTCAAGCGGGCACGATCGAACACAAATGCAAACAATCAATGAATGCGAAAGTTCATTCACTGTAGATGAAACGAGATACACATGCATACCTAGCCACGGACCACGACCGTACTAAACCAATGTGGATACGGTTATTAGATCGGGCGTGGATCCACATCCTGAGTGCAATATTGAGGAATGTAGGTGGCTCGGATGCGCTGCTTGGTTGTTGGTCTGTTCGCCCGAACCAACCACCCAACACAAGGCACAACAACTAACCCACTGCTGATGATGTCACCTGGACTGATGATGAAACGTTTGCAATCAAATAGCCCAGCTCAGCGAACAAGCCAACGACCATCTACGCTACCCGAGCTACCAACATTTTCCCCCATAGATAGCCAACACTGTTTAGAAACCACAAAAGGGGAGAAGAATTTACCCACTCAACCCCACACTGACGATGTTACTTTGACGAAACGTTTGCAATCCAACTGTTGTGCTCGGGTGAACATGAGATCAACAAACATACAGTGTCCGTGTGAGAATTTTCACCACTTACCAAGTCCGGGCTACCAAATACGACACTGTTTTCAGAGCTCGAACCTTGTCGTGACCGCGGAACACCATTGGACAAACCGAAATGGTTCACAGGAGTCGGCAGTTTACAAGGAGGATCGCTTGTGCGTAGTGCTGTTGTCGGTGACGTATGACAATGGTCACCAAGTCCAGTAGTTAATTGGGGTACGTCTGCAGAGTACTCAAGGTCATCACGTGTCGACGCTGTAAAACTTGGCTCCAAAATACCGTCTACGAAGCCTTCATCATCGGCACGGGGAACTGAATGTTGGGCTGGGTTGTGCTGACGCCTAAATGTCGAAAGGATATGAACTGAGTGAGCAGACTGTGGAGAACGCCTGGCGCTTAGCAGGACAGAGAAATGTATCTTTAGGGGCCCTACTGTATTTGTCGTTTTAGGTAAAAAACAGAATGATGATTTCTACTCATTCAGGTTCCGCCGGGAATTCGGCTCTGATTAGTTGGAGTTGGAAAACGTAGTACGAACCGAGGACAAGACATCGCACCACCATGTAGAACGAAGGCATGGGAGCATCTTACAAAACGAACGGGAGAATAATGGCCGACCTCAGGTGTCGAAGCGTGAGAAATTCTGCTATAGTAAAAACAATATATGAGGAGCGAGATGGTTCAGTACCACGGTAGGGGTTCCTCAAATTGTTAGTCACGTCACCAGAGCAGTCCACAGCACACAGCCTCTAAACACAGATAAAGACGAAAAACCTGACAGTGAGGTGAGAGAACAAGTGAGGAACGACAAACGAAAGTGTATGTATCGGAGCAAATCTTTCAAAGGTAAGCCGTTTGGCTTCTGGGAGACTAACTAACACGTCCAGAGGTGTTTAAAGCTATTGAGAACAATGCTTCTTGGTTCCAAACCAGTAGGCGTTTTTCTGCCTTGCTATCAAAATGATTTGGTCGATTCTGACCAAAGAACAACCGCAGAGAGAAAGGTATTTCATGTCATTCAGAAGTCATGACCAAAGAAATCATCTGAGGGTGGGTGATTTTAAAAGCCGTACTCCCGATTCTGCTCTGAACTAAAATGAAGTATGCACACGGCGGTTAGCGCACTCCGTGCACCGCAACCTACACGACAAAAGTACATGACCCAAAAATCCGGTATTGTATCGCATCCAAAAGAATGATTCGCAAGCGTTCGCATTGTTACAAGCAAACAGGTCATGACAATGTATTGTGAAGTGCGGCCTGCATATCAGTGACTACGCAGGTAGGCGAATGTGCTTTCCAGTTCAATGTCACATACCGGAGTGAGGTGAAAGACAAAGCGTACGATGAGCAGAAAATGTAATGACGAGCAACCCCCTCCCCCCAGAATAACTATCAGTAATGTATGATGAACTGATGCAACGATAGTACGGCTGGCACACTGAAGAACTAGGTGAGATAAGATTATTTTTGACAGCCTCTTTGCAATTTCATGCATTTCTGCGGTAGGAACAGGAGGACACCTTGAAAGAAGGACGCATACTTCAGATTGAGCTCGGTAAGGCAATTTTCTTGCGTTTGCACGAATCCATCCATACCTGTTGTCAGAAACAGCTACCGTATCGTTCCCAACAAGGAGTGTACTCGTCCCTCAGTCGTTCTGACTCAAACGTGCCCGAAAAACTCCGCTAAGTATACTAGAGTTTTCTTTCAAGCACTAACTAACGTTTCCAAATTCACTAGCATCCAATATTAGTTTGGGGACAGTCAGCATCGGGCGAAGAATGACGATACCGGTTCCCCGTAGCTATCCACCTCACTGGGAAGGCAAGCAGTTGGGGCAGACAGACACAAATGTGAGACAACTCATCACAGCCGGGCGGTGGCTGCTGAACGAAAAGTAGTAGCGGAATTTGAGTTTCCAAAAAATCGGACGCGGTGTCACCAATGTCGGACGCAAAGCAAGTGAAATAAGTCAGTCAGTCAGCCAGCCAGCTAGCCAGCCAGCCAACCAGTTAACTGACGACCAAACTGATTAGACTGCAAGTGTGTTCGGCCACTGGCCAGTGTACTAAGCTTGTTCGTCGTGCCATCTCGTGACACGCGCGCATACATACATACACGCAGATGACGTAAATGTGGGGATATACAAACAAACTGTTTATCTGTATCTGTATAAAACACACAACAGTTGCTATAGACGAAATACCACACGGAATGAGGCACAACAGGTGGTTAGCAAGTGGGAGCTGGGAGAGCAAGGGCTGAACTGTAGGCGGCGAGAAAGAGAGCGCTGCTCCCCCTCCCGCTCTGGTTGGTTACAGTCACGAAAAGCCAAGAAACGGAGGAGAAACAGACGAAACTACTAGAGCAAGTATGAGAAAACCACTCACCAAATAGAGGCAACGGATCCGAACTGTGCATCTTGTGCATTGCGCAAAGCTATATAGATGGGGAGGAGAAAAGAGAGCATTTATTTAAAAGAGGAATGAAGTGGGGTAGGCATTTGTAAGAAATCAAACACATATGAACGATTGTTTCAGGATGACTGATGATAAAAGAGTGGGCAATCACTGTCCGAGCCTTCCTGCTCGACTGGTGGAATTTTCGACCGGCTTCACATTCCAACAACGCATACCAACCACACTTGTGGAGCAGTGTCTTGTGGACGGGTGGTACACAAGCCCGCTAAGTTAGCCAGCTACATCAGGAGGCTCGCTAAACCTGAAATTACCCTCCCAACGTTCACACCCTTCATGCCACAGGTGTGGCGTCCATGCTACGGTTTACAATGCTATGCCGCAATGTAATACGAATCAGAATCCTCAGCAATACATTGGAAAACTACCAATGTCCAACCACCCAGGTCTCCGAAACACTCATTTGGTATGGCTGGGGGTTGGTCACTTATGAGTAGTTGCGCGATGTTTGTTGAATTTGCACCAACATCATTCTGAGAATTCTCAGTCAAGAGACGTGCTGGAATACGCCGAACGATGATTGAGCTTCATCTTTCGAATGGTGATGGAGGACCAGCTGTGACCGGGCATTTTTACCTAGTGAAAATGATCTAGCTGAGCCTTAACAAAAAACTTGATCGCGTTGACAACCGCCATCCCCACTGACGAAGACCCATTATGTATGGGTCGCTTGCAGGCGACCCAAATCGCACATCGAACAGCACAGGTACTTCTGGTGTTTATGGCGTACTAGCTCTGGGCCCACTTCCGACAGAGTGGTCGGTGAACTGTACACGCAACTAGGGCTAACTCCGGTCGCCATCGCATTCATTACGTACCTGAAGTATAATGGTGTAAGGAGAGAAGTGGTTGAAATCCCGTACAGGCCAAAACTTTCTTCCACGACAATGCTAGCAGCGGTATCTCGTATCTCTGCCAAACACTAAGTGTCTATTCACTGACTTACTCATTGTCTGATCAGGTGAGCATAGTCTGGGCCTGTACTTATTTGGTGGACATGATATCATCCTATGCGCAGTCAGTAAACCACCATTGTCTGCACTTGCGATGCCCTTGTCCGATGCAATGACCTGAACAACCGTACACACACATACAAGACTAGAGCTCGAAATAGCTCAGCAGTTGGAGAGTGACTTGCTGATCGGAAGGTTCATGGTTCGAACCCAACTTCGGCATCTCAACTGCTCTGTCCAGGCTTAGGCAGTATCTCAGCCCTCGTGCTTCTTTCGAAGAGGCATCGGGAGGGTGTTATAGCTACACCATTTCTTTACACACAAGGCTCGTGGTTTCCAAACGAATGTCAACGGACTGGTCCTTTATTTTGCATTCAGTATCAACACTTTGATTAGGTTCAACTACGCAAAATTTTCGGTCGCACCACAGCAAAGGAATAAGAGAAAGATCAAATTCCAGATCGATCACTTTCGGTCGTTCTTACGGATTACGGACCGACAGAATACATGGCTTGCGCGGAATCCACCGCTGTTCAGTAGAGGATTATGGTTTTACTATTGAGTGTGTGCGATTTGGAAAAACAGCAGTTTTGCCAGCGCTGTGTCGTTGATAAAACGTATACAGGAGTAGTACTAGTTAAAAACCTACTTGGGGGTGACGAAAAAGGCAAACATTAGGGAGAATTATGCACGTGATGACTTTTCTCACGTGAACACCACACTGTGTCCACCCCCACCCCCACTAGTAGCAAAGTTCCACGACTTTTCTTGTAAACGAGATTGTCGTTGTAAAGTGGAGTGCTAGGACGGTTCAGTCTGTCAGTTATTTTTAGTTTCTACCTATTGAGAAACGCGGAATTTTCAATCGCACGAAGATCAGACTTCCAATTAAGGCACTCTGGACTTCAAACCACCTCTCCATTTGGGATAAGCTTGTCCATACATGAAAGCATACGCCTTGGTGGTAGAATAAACGTGTAGCAGAAGCTGCAGCTCACGATTGCTTGTTGTACCTGGAGGAACGTTTTTCCTGCCGTTGGGGATGTAGTGCTTCAGTGCAGTGATGAAATCTAGTCCTAATAAACCAACTCATTGGGTAGCCTAGTCGGTCTGTACCAGTGATTACGAAGCAAAAGGTAACTGTAATTCATCCAGACTGTTTTTCATTTCACGGAGGCATAAAATTACGCAGAAGGGTGGTCACCAGTCCATTTGAAACAATGAATAACGTGCGCGAAAGAATATAGGATATCTCCCCAGTCTCCATCTAGCCCCCCTACGATTGATTGATATTTGATAACAGGACACACCCACTTTGACCTCAGTGGTATGTGCTAAAAACGGCATTGGAGGCGTCCACACTTCAAACTCTGCGCTGCTAAGTACTTTGAATAGGGTGCTAAAAGTCGCGATTGCGTGCGTCACTCTGCTCTTGCTTGTCACTCTGGTCACTCGTGGTGTGGAAAGATATTCATGAGTAAATATATTGATATCTCAATTTCCACAAATATCACTTTACGCCACGAAGGACGTCCACGTATATTGACGCCAGGTTCTCCAAGCCCAGACAGGATTGGTCGAGATCCTGGGGCTGGGTTCGAACCCTCCGGTCAGGTAAGTTCGCGCCTCAACCACTAAGATATCTCGAGTTCAACAACCACATGACGCACAATCGCACTTCTACGGACGCCCGCAGCTTCGCACACCGGCAGTGTGATGGAGCAAACTGCGCGAGACCATCCACCCATTTGGTAAAAATCCGTGGTTGCTGCAATCAAGCAAACCTTTGTTAAAAACTTTGAAGAAAATTAGTAAGATCGTACTTAACAGATGGGGCGACCTGACAACACAAATTTTGCGCACACTACCTGAAAGGACGAGGGGGCTTTAAAAGACAGAACGCTAAGGCTGAAATTGAAGTGGAGAGAACTACATTCTTGACCAGCACAAAATTGGCCGTTGGTATTCGGTCCTTCAGCAAACCCAACGACGCAGTCGGATGACCGTTACTTCCTCCGTTCACACTAGTGAACAGAATAGGCGTCAAGGAAAGTGAACGGACTCAATGAGGACGACGACCGTTCATCTGTTTGCAACTAAAACCAGCAGCTTAAACTGATGGACCACATGAAGCCTCTATACTTTGGGCGGCGATAACTTTCACAAGCTACTGTCTATAAAGGACTCTTAAGAATATACCGCGTTCAATTTTCCACTGACATTACAACCGTTGCCGTGTCAAAACAATAAAGTAGTTCAACAGAGGACGCTTACAGTTGTACGGATACTAAGCAATCTTCAGAGAATAAAAATGAGGACTCAGCTGTAAGAAGCTTTCGGTACCTAGCTGCTATGTTATCCTAAAGAAGCACGAGGGCTGGGATACTGCCAGGTTGCCGAAGCCCAGACAGACGTAGTCGAGATACCGCAGTTGGGTTCGAACCACGGACCTTCTGGTCAGCAAGTTCGCACTTTAACCAATGACCTGTCTGGAGCTCTAGGGGGTCGCATGCTAGCACCATAATAGTAGAATACGTGGTTGGAATAACCGGATTTAGATGTACTTTACTGATAACCCAAATGTGTTTATTAACCATCCCACCATTATGACGCAAACGCTATCAAAACAGGGAATGCAACTGATAAATTTAAGCTAAACTTCATTAAGTCGGATGGGAATACAGAAGCGACCTCATTATAAGTAGACAAATCGAAATGAACTCTCATACTAACCGAATTAAGCCACGCTTAAATTATTCTACGAGTCGAGGTAGACCATTCTCAACACCTTGTGTTAGAATCAAATATGCAAGATCAAAGTAGAGTCTCAATAACTCGGCTTATTTCGGGAGATATTAATTCCATCAAAAAACAATATCGGTAGAGGCAGAAGAAACACTGCGTAGGGAGATCCGAGCGAATTGTCAATATACACGACATCACAAAGGAACACAACCGAATGGAAGGTGTGTTAGGCAGCTGCATTGGAATATTGTTCTCAGTGCTGCATCCTCCGGGACACTAGTTTCCTTCCCATACTATACGCGGCCGCTGTCCATTGATCTGGGCCCTGTTTACCCAGACAATAAGACTGCGTCTCGGTTGAAGTCTCGATATCCTGTAGTGTGGTTTCTCGCAGCTAACCGGGCAGAAACAAGCATCGAAACAGTGATCCAGAACCACTGCACAATGAGAAGGGCGGAATGCATTCATGTCCTAAGTGTCACGCTTGTCACACTTTCTCAAAGTTGCATAGCAAGGAAGATACTTTAAAAAATGTGAATTTGCGGTGCAGCAGAGTCACAATGCCTCAGTGGGAAGATACTTTGATAGTCACAGAATGATATTATTTCTATGAGCACATTTTGGGTGAAGAAGGGCCGTTGGGGTTTCTCCCCAGGTAACAAAATCCGGCAATACACTCTGCGCATAGACTTCTCCTAAACAGTTCGGAAATCACGACATACATCACTAGTGTTATCCCAGGTTACTGGATTTGAGGAAGGCGCCTACACCAAAGCAGCGATACCGCTGGTATCGGTGTCTCGCTGTCATTCAACAATGAGCACTCCGAATCGTTCAGCTGTAGCACCCCTTCGGTGCCTAGCTGCCATGCCACCCGAAGGAAGCACGAAGACTCGGATACTGCCAGGTTGCCCAAGCCTAGACACGTGAAGTCGAGAGGCAAAGGCCGGGTTCGAACCACGGGCCTTCCGGTCAGTAAATTCGCACCACTGAGTCATCCCGCCCCCAGTGAGCACTCATCTCAGTGTGGATACAAGCAAAGCCTGAAGTACCAATCGACAAAATTCACATGTCCAACTCCGCAGTTCGTACTTAAAAGATACTTTAGGGCGTATCCCACCGCACTTCTCACGTTCGGAGTTAGTTCGATTTGTCGGCGATGAACCACGTACCAAGGGTAGGCGGGTTCCAGATGCTACAGTTTCGGCTACCGGAAAACGGGAGAGCGAAGAACAGCAAAATTAGTTGGTCCCTCGAATCAACTCACTTATTCGAAGAAACAACAAACAAGGTGACTAAGTACTAAAGGTGACACCTTTGGTACAGGAGTGCACTGACTGCTTGAGAGCGCCATGCATCAATGTCATTTAACATTTCTGAGTCGATCCCACCGTCCCCATCCAGGTAGACGAGAGCTGTCAACCTTATGGAATCTACTGAACGGTGGCTTCCCGGTAGCTTCCACTCAGGACAAGGCTGGATGAAATGGGATCCGCCATACAGACGGTTCTAACATAGCCTACGAAGTGTACCGTTCAGTCCTCTCAAGTTAAATTATGATTGCACATGAACCAAGTACGATTTAGCAGTAATCTATTAAGACACAAGTACGGTTGTCGAAATCTTTATCGCCTTCTTTTCACTTCCAAGTATGCACTTTTCGCGACCCAGAAGCCGCTGCCACTGATTCTGCTGGTGTTGAAACAGCTTGGCTCCAAGCCACCGAGCCGAAGGGCTTCTGGTTGAGTGGTTGTCCGTCGATGGCCACCTCTGTGACAGTATCCAGTAAACGCGCCGATAATCACTGCCTGTTCATTGTGTCTGCTTACGCCCCAACAGACCGTAGCTCTGATGCTCTTCAATAGTTTTGACATCTTTTGAGCCCCTTGTTACCATCGACTGAGAGCTCAGATGTTGTAGTTCCCGGAAACTACAAGTACGCCAGTAGGTGGATATTCCGTTGCTGAGGCTCAGTTGGGTAGTCCTCTTGCATGGGAATCAAGCAGCACGAACAACGGCGCATAATGCAGGCATCCGCTGGACTGTCTATTACTGTGCAGTATTAACTTCCGAAAAAATCGAAGCCGCTCGGTCAAATGGTGCTCTCCACATGCAACAGATGGACCACATCGTCATTGACTCCAGGTTGTGTGGGTCAGTTACCGCTTGTTGCTCGTGGATGTGCGTGCCAGGCACAAAAAAAACCACCCAGTCATTGGGAAGCCCTTGGATCCTGATACAAACCAAACCTACCGAAATCAACTACCGAAGTCCCCTCTGGCCTATACACTTTTACTGAAAAGTGATATCCGCAACCTTGCAAGGTCCAATGCGCTTCGCCTGTGGAACGGTCCTAGATCTCCAGCAAAACTCTGAAATTGCTCGAGGCTCGGACACTTATTTCTTCTGGCCGACAGTACTACAGCATCCGATGAACTGTTGATACTAGGTGAAAAACAGTACCTGGACGAATCGAGAGGCTTGGTAGTCCAGAAAACTGGGGCACGGAGGAAGCGGGAAAACTCGGGAATTTAAGTATGCAATACAGGTATTCCGCAACAGGCTTGAAGAGGCCCCTGGTGAGCGGAACAATCACTGATAAAACAGATAACCTATCTCAAAAATAGAACGCCTTAATCGTCGGGTTGGACACATTCAACAATAATTCAACTGTCCACTTGCAGTTGATCGGCCGTATTCATGACCCGCGAAGTTGGAACCCCCGACGGCTTCGGAAATGAGCGGATGCATTTATCCCCTTAAAAGCCGACTCTGACGAACTCCTACCCACTCTGCTTAAAAATGGAGGTGTCTGTCTAGCATATTCACCTGTCTAGGCAAAAAGACCGTCCCAGCCAATTGGGATGAATCGACCGTGGTGCCGATTTTCAAAAAAGGTGCTCGCAGTATGCGTGACAGCTTGGTTCCCATTGTAACTACTGTTTGGATAACTTAAGAAGGTGCACGAAGGCCGAACCCAAGAACAACAAGCAGGATTCTGGTCTGGAAGGGGATGTATAAATCACATCTTCACGCCCTGTCAAGTGTTAGAGCGACGGTATGCTTGCGGTCACCCTACAACCTTGGTGTTCCCTGGTTTAAATGTTACGTTTGATTATGTCGACTGGTTCGTTTTCTTGGCACGCCTGCACATAAGATCATGAATACCATGCATTTGTATCCAAGTGCGTATGGCAATGATGTCCGGAAAGGGTGTCCACTCTGTCCAGTTTTGTTTACTTTCGTCAATCATAAAGTGATGAGACCAGTTGGAAGGTCTATGAAACTCCGATGTTTGAACCACTCCAGGCGAGCCCCTGATCCACTGGTAATATACAGATAAACTGTTATCTATGAAAAAGTGAAGGAAGCGCAAGCATTACTTGAAAAGTTGATCGAGGTCATACAGTCCTTCGGCATGTGCTTCGCGCCCACAAAGTGAAATTTTTTGAACATGCCTCTAGGAGTTTAAGGAGAGACAGTGGGAGTGGTAGAACACAATACGGAAATTGCATTAGTTCTGACGTGCGTGTGACAGACGAAGTCATCGCACAAATCTCAAGGGACATAATTATTTTTACCCCTGTGGCATTGAAAAAGCACATTGGCGGGACTTAACGGATACATCTATCAGACCACAGAGCGATCTGTACTATTGTGAGGCTGCGAGATTTGGCCAGTCCAGGTGGAGGATACGAAACATTTTCAGGTCTTCGATCGCCAGTGCCTCGGAACTATGGAGAACTCGGAGTGAGGTGACCAGGAAACGAGTGCTTGGTGAAACAGATAGCACTGTATTGAAATAACACATCCAGCATTGCGAAACAAGATGACTAGGACATATGTTAGGCATGCTGAATAGCCGCCTGCTGGGAGGAGTGTTGGTTTCCTTGCTTAACTGTGAGTAGCACAAATCCTGAGTTGGACAGAATTTAGCATGATGTTGTTGGTGCCTTCGAGGATGGGGTCCGCGCGACCCTCCTTGTGCTTCGCAGAAAACACTGAACAGTATAGCGGTGAAATGACGTCAGTGGGATTTACGCTGCCAGTTCCTACTCAGATCACGTTGAAAATTTAGGCACCTTGAATGTGTGTAGGGCGACTTTCCTAATCCATCTCTTTTCTTTCCATTGTAAAGGTTTACACAAACAAACCGGCATAGTTCTACGGCAGCTAAACCTGTGTTCTTTTCTTATATTGTTGTTAATTATGACTCCGGTAAAGACTGCCTATTAAGCCGGCAATCCAAAAGTGTCCCCATACGTAACTACGTTCGCCAAAAAATTTCCGGTCATCAGCATCAGCCCCACGAAAACCTCTGGTGCGTAGGCATGGCTTCCGGAGTGGCGGAAACTATTTATAGGGTCTCTAACAGAAGGTTGACGTCGGCTGATTCTGAATCCTAAGCGATGAAGCTCGTAGGCTCCTTTTCCGGGAGGAGAATTTCTCACACCTTAGGCTTCATGCTACCGAGCACGCTAAACCTCGTATCGTGATTCAAACGATATCCAGCAACAGATTCATCAACACGTTCGAGAGGCTGCAGTGACTGCAGATGGCCCGCACTCAACTCACTCGGTAACAGTAACAAGTCGATGTTGGATGGATTTTTAATCAGCCCAGCCACTTTTTACACAGTCATAGCACTAAATCAACAAACAGTACTTGTTTGCGGGAGGCAATTAGAGGAATCGCTTATGAAGCACTCCACTGCACACATTTGAGCTTGTTTCTTGGTTGGCTCAACCCACGATACCATATTATAGTCCCAGTGGGATCTGTCTTGTTTCCAAGTTCAGCCTGTTGGATGACCCTCTGAGACAGCTTGGACATAATCGGCATCGCAGTTGAGTTTACGAGCCGTTGATTTGTATTTGTTTTGCCCAGGCAAAGACCGGAGGACTAACTGAAACTCCTGTGTAGAACTACAGACAACTGGCACTGTACAGCCTGCCGCCAGTAACCAGGCATTTTTTAACAAACAGTACAGTAGGGTTTCGGTAAAGCTTCCCTACTACGAATATTCGCCTTTACATGTGTAGGTTATAAATACTCTGCGACTATCATATCAACCGTCATCTACGGATGGTGTCCCAAACAATTTGGGCGTTTGAAAGCAAGTCTTAGCGCTGCGCCAAATAAGTCATAAAGGTGGGACGAAATTAACACTACTTTCCCTCATGAGGAAATGCTGGCGTTGGGAACAAGCTCGGCAGGATAATTTTTTAATGTACGCAACGCCACGGGAACGACCCCGAGAACAGTCGAGAAGTCACTCGTCCCACATGTACTCCGCGCCATTACGGAGTGTCTACTGGGTCCTAGAATGAGGAAGCAATTCTTAAATACGGCACACTAAAGACACGATCGGGCGCTCGTTCACCGATCGCAAGCCTGCGGAACCTGCAGACTGCGGCTTAGATGATTGAGGAATGAACATCCACGTTTACAATAAGACTTACTTATATCTGTTGCTGCGATAAATGCATGCACCAACTCGTCGGCAGGGTGAACATGATGGCAATCGTCTTGAGAGACGGAAAGTATTTTGTGCTGTTTTCTTAGCCTCTTCTTTTTTGTATTTGACGCGAGAAGTGAATCACTTCTAAGGTGATTCCTGTCACCGTCGAGTGCGAAAGGTGAGGCCGCTCTGGCTTTTCGCGGACACAATGTCCCAAAGCTTATTGGCTCTGACTTGGTGAGAGCCGGGAAGTCTTCTACCACCGCCATTGTAAAAAACAACGAAAGGTGTCAGCAACCAATGCCACCGATTTTTCTTTCGAGATATGCTGCCCAAACAGATGACAGAAGCAGTGGTATGGTCAATTTGCTGGACGACTGCGATAAAATATTGGAAACTTGAGAGCTGCACAGCCACAATATAATTGCCTACGGCTTGTCGAAAATTGGAACAAAACCCTCGGACCTCAGCCGCGTCGGGCGCTCGCCAGAATCGACCGATAGAAACTCAATCAGCGCGCAAACCGAGTAACTCGTGAGTGCGAAACGCGTTGAAACGTTAAAACAAAGAAAACTAATCTGGTTGGCAGACTTCTAGCGGCTCGAGCACAAGGATATAATAAGCGCCCCGAAACCAATTCCACCGTTGGTCACAGTGGTTCAACAACCAGGCGCGCCTCACTCGAATTTCCGACCCAGCTGCATCAATGAAGGGCCAAGCCTTAGGAACAGGCCTAAAATTTTTCCGAAAACATAGCTTCAACCAAGGAAGCTTTCACAAAAATTTTAGACGCATTAAGGTATTTACCCGGTACTTTGAAATTCCCCAAAGGGTTGCAGTTTTGTTGAAATTAGCTACAGCACACTTACTGCATGCTTTGGGCGCAGAATTCATCTATTTAATGACTGTCATTGTTAAGCTCGATGTCTCCGCGAAGGCGGTGGAAAATCCAGTGGAGAAGTTGTTTTCCTCACGTGTTCTCAGTTGTTAGATTTTGACATATTTTGAATGTACACATAAACAATAATAACTGTGCAGACTCAAAGTGGGGGAGCTATTCGCGATTTATCCAACAAAGGTTTCCTGTTTTTCAGCAAGCGCCTCGCCGCACAAAGCAAAGGAATTCATCGCAAATATTAAGTATGGTAGATCTTCCAATGGTAATCGGCACACACTATATTGGCCGTAGGTAAAGTGTTTTCTTCACCGATATACCGGGAATTATTGGATTTGCGGGCAGCACGAGCAGACAGTACAATAGGTTAGCCAGTACCTAGAAATTTTGTCACAATTTCACAGCAACTGATCTGGTGTCCATTGTAGGTAACCCAGATAAGCGGCAACTTGTTAAGGTACAAGAAGGGCCAGCGTTGGTCATTGAAACAGATTATCATGCATCGGTTAGGGTTCGAGCATCGGCTGTAGGTGCACAAAAACATCCCTACAGCAATTATCCACTCAATCTGGCTTGTGTTCGTTCTACACTCACATGGTCCTCCAACTGAAGAAAAATTACCCGTGACCCTGCATCGGCCTGACTCCATCTGTGTCAGTCTCCTCGTCTAACACGGAACCAACTGCCGCGGAATTGGGCATCTCCAACCTGACTGCAGGAGCCTTGACTACCGTTAGCGGGCTCTCCATAAACCGGAATATGATAATAACAAGGTTTATTCCCCACTTGTGGGTGGCATAACGTCCGGCATGATCATAGTTTTACAGTCAGAATGAAGCATGAGTGGGGGATTTTGTGGGGGTACGGATTGCACAAAAAGAGGACGATGTCATAAACAGAGGGGAATACCCGATGATATAGCAATAATAGGATAAGTCCCAACTTTTTGGGAAAATGGGCATGAGGTTCGACTAGATCAAAAACAGTCAGGAGGCATGAACTAAAACTGAAAACCATTGCTGGCCATGAGTGACCTTGGGTGGTCAGGTAAACGACCGGGGTCACAACGGGCAAAGTGGAGATGGAGGTGGGATAGTTCAAATTGGGAGCATATGGCAAGTTTTGTCGGTGCAATGAAGGCATTGCTCTGTCATACCCTGTGTGATGAAAGTCCCACAGCTCCTTTCATCAGAATCTCGACCGCAACCTGTCGCACGATCAAGCCTCTGATTGCAACCACGAGCAAAGTTTTCGCATTGCTTCAACTGCCTGTGGGACAAGTTCATTCTCACCCGAATAAACTTTGGTTCAGATTTGATCAACTTGATTTTTTGCTGCAATTTCGGCTTGCCCCTTCAACGAGTTCAGTTCCATATACGGTGTTCGTTTGGCCCTACGAATTAGCGTAATCTTCTCATTGAGCATATTCTTTGCGCTTGACTTCCCTACAACAGTGTCACCAGTGAGTCTACTTGGTCTCAGGTTGAACCACATTTTCGAGACAAAGCTTACCATTCGCTTCCACTTCGAATTATTCCACCCCCTATTCCATTTTTACCTGTTGTGACTCTGGCCACCTACTCAACCGCCCAAGGACGCTGATGCCCGGCAATGGTTCTCACTTTCAGTTCACGTCATCCAACCCCATCTTCGAACTTGTCGGACCTCATGCCGTTTGTCACAGTTTTTTTCGGTTCCCACAATTGCGATGACTTCTAATGTAATTAACCAGCTTCGTCGGTTCTACCTTCCTCCCCGTTGTGTTGTTGTCTGTCGTCCTTAGATTGTGACCGCCCGATCGGGCCTCAACCCGCATGTCCCATACATATTGGGAAATAAGCATATTATCATCATTCTTATTTCATCGGATGTTGCTCAATGTTTATGACATTATCCACTTTTTTGCGTAATCCCCAGTACCCGCAAATTCCTCGGCCAGGCTTTATCCTGACCGTTAATATATGATCATGCCTGGCGGTATGCAACCCACAAGTTGAAAATGAACACTATTATTATCATCATAATCAGCGTCAAACATAGACGCGGGTCTACCGGTACGACAATTAGGCCCTGTAAGCGAAAGCAGTTCATATATTATGATGAGAGGTAATGGTCAGTCTTATTTTCTAGCAATACCCTTGGGCCTTATGGCCTAATCCAGCTAATGAGTGTCACTATTTCCAACTGGAAAGGTATCGCTGTGTTGGTGATTTGCACGCACACATCCAAGATTGATGCGTTACCTACCGACCAATTGTACATACCATAGAGTGGGAGTCATCCACGGAGCTGTATACTCGCACCACTACTACCTGCTTCTTCAACTTTACCCCACTGCTATGATGAACAAAAGGCAATCCTCCAGAAATTTTTATTTTGTGATGAAGTTCGCTGAAACTACTCATATAATTCTTTACGTATTACGAGTATCGCGTGTATTGGTCTGGCTACCCAATAAGTTACTTTACCAGGAGTTAGCGGCAAAGTAGTAGAAATAATAACGCTAGGTTTGCTGTACAACAATGAAGATGTCAGTTGGAACAGACTCACTAATGTTTGTTCTCTTTAAAACAGTTCGCTGTTGCCCAGGTCAGGGGGTAAACAACCATCCAATTGTAGTTTTCCGGGGGTCTTCTTTTGAACAGTTCCCACATATAATAGATTCCGAAGATGGTCCAAAATATGCTGGTACCACAGTTAGCATATGAGACTCGCGGATGAACTCTTCAAGCGCGAGCAAATGCAGAAGAGAGGGTCGGAGCACGTGACCAGGTTCGTATTCTGTGAAATTGTACAAGTGCGTGTTTTCTGTAGTTTTTCGTATCCTAACAAAAACGATGAAATACGTATTGTTATACTGGGAGCAAAATAATGGTACAAAATGCCGCGCCCGCATGCGAACGTTACTGAATTACTGGTCTCATTGAATTTCCTATTGGACGTTCTGTAGACTTTGTCTCCCATTTAAAGACATCGAAACAGAGTTGATCTGGTGCTTGTTGTCGCAAACGTGTATTCACAAGCGAATCGGCAGTAGTGGTTGACCTTGAAAGCTCGGCCTCTCAAACTAAATGCTATGAGTAATATTACCCCAAAATGTCCAATCGGATTAGACTTATTTACAGGAGTCCTAAATTGAAGATTCTACATTTTCTCCGCCATTTCTTTCAGCTCGCTTCTAATAGGTGGCCAGTAAGTGGCGATAATCGGACGCAAGCCCGTAATTCCTCTGAATCCATAGCTTGAACCGGTGAAACTTACATATACACTTTTAGCAATTGACGGCATCTACTATATACCTGGGACTAGCACCAAACTATGGCAATTTCGTATACATTTTTCAGTGTCCTCATTGCCTACCTGGGGCGCAGAATTTATTTTTCTTTCAGCTGACATGGTTCTCCGTGGCCGCTGGCTATTCACACACCAAAATTATTTTTGCCGAAACTATAGTTTTTGAAGTTGAGGCTTTAACGGTTAGTTATTCTAGTTCATCTGCAACTTCCGGGACATATTGCTCGTAGCATTTTGTTTAGGTGAGCGAAATTTCAAGGCCACGGACCGATGGTTCATGCAACATAAAACGCGAAATCACGCTTTAGCATATTTTGGCGTTCTTCGGTGTATTTTAGGAATAAAAATATCTGGAGAATATTTAATGCAAATTTCACCCCAGAAGACCAGTTGTTGACGTCTGTCTGCCCTACACTCCTCAGATTTAACAAATGCGATTATGATCGCGAAGTATATTTTGTTCGGCGAACCTCACGATACCTCTTCCCAAGGATTTCAACATTGTTGGACAACAGCACGAACTGGGCAGTGCGGAAGCGAGGCACATCTCTGTCGATGACCCCCTTTCCCAAATATACCTAACTACCCTATAGATAAGAAGGCATCACGAGAGAGTTGCAGTTATCACTCCTATTATGAGTATGACGCTCTATAGGTGGTGACCATCATAAATTTATTGCCATGACAACGGTAGCGGTTGTCACTCACCTTGACTACCTATAGTAACTGCCGGATCCGTGTCCATGTGCGACGCTGATTATGGGATCGCACCTATGCACGACAGTCTAATACAATGACCGACGACGGCTCCTTGTACTCCTACCACTACGCGTTGTCACTCATCTCGAATATTTATTGTGAATTTTAGGCACGCGTCTGTGCGACGCTGATTATGAGACCTCACCTAGGCACAGTAAGACAATACAGTGATCAAAGGCGGTCTTTCATACCCATACCCATAAGCGACACCACTTACCTTCGCTACCTATAGTAGACACCAGGCCAGTACCCATACGGACCGGTAAAAATGAGGCCTTTACTATACCTGATAGCCTAAGCTGATGACCTGTCACACCTATTGTTGTACTCGATGTCGCCCAACCTGGCTACTTATTGTACCTGCTAGTTCAGTCTCCATGTGCGGCGTTGATTAACCTGTAACGTAATCCAACCTAATCTGTCGTACTCGTAACTTTACGCGTTGTCGTTTATCTATGCTACTTGTGATAAACAACGGGCGAGCACTTGTGTGAACCGATGAATACGAGACCCAAACTATGAGCACATACCTAATCTAACGGTGAGCGATGGACCTCATTCTCACAAAT